TTGTTTATAAACTATCTGGCATTTATTACTGTAATGCAACAATAAATCATTTACAAGAAGTCGATAATTGCAGTGAATCGTCAATCAGCCCCGAATACTCGACAAAACAAATCAAAATAACTGCTCAGTCTAGTGTTAAGCCTAGTATAATAGATACCAATATGAAAGGTCAAGTGATAAATGTTTTACCAAACGCTATTCACGAGTTTTATTGTGCAGCTCAAGGTAAACCAAAACCTAAAGTTGAATGGTTCAAGAATGGGACGCTTTTAAGGCCAACAAGAAGATTTGTTTTTCATTCGACTAACAATAAGCAACGATTGATCATCAATGGACTGATAGAGAATGATTTGGGTGAATACAAGTGTATAGCGTCTGTTCGTGGTGACAATGTGTCTGCCGTTGCCTACTTATCATTTTCAAAAGAATCCAATAAAAGCTTGATTAGTTTACTAATTATAACTTCACTCATTTTCGCCTTAGCATTGTGTGTCACTGCTTGCATCGTCGTCAAGTATTGCAAGGCGAAGCATCTTCAGTATTTAACTTCCAACCTTTTGAGTCCAATAACTTCCATGAATTCGTTCAATCCTGATCTTCCTTTAGATGAACAAGTTGACTTGTTATCTTATGATTCTGCTTGGGAGTTTCCACCTGATCGACTGAAAATAATCCAAACTCTTGGTGAAGGTGCTTTTGGTCGAGTTGTTCTGGCTCAAGCAATTGGCCTTGGCCAAACTGATTCAACACAACTCGTTGCAGTTAAAATGCTGAAACCAAATGCTGACTTTTTACAAATCAAAGCATTAATTTCTGAACTCAAAATACTCATTCACATGGGTCATCATCTGAATATTGTCAATTGCCTTGGTGCAGTAACTAAAAACAGGACTCATGATCAGTTAATGGTTATTGTTGAATACTGTAAATTTGGCAACTTAAGAAACTTTCTAAGAGAACGAAGAAAAATTTTCATCGACCAAATCGATCTTTATGACCAAAATGATGAATCCTCAAATGATGACAACTTTTCAAAGCCAAATAAGCACGATAGTTACGTTGAACCTCATAGTCTGAATGGGAATAGTTGCTCTTCCATCAATCACGATTCTGGTAATTGTAGTAACTCTAATGACGAACGTCGAGCTTTCATTACAGAAAGCAAACTCGAGCTAGATTCCAACGATAATGAACAGTTAGCAACACGTAATTTAATTGCAATCGCTTTTCAAGTGGCCAGAGGAATGGAATATTTACAACAGAAAAAAGTAATTTCTTTAACTATTGTTCTTTTTTAATTATTGATACAATTGTTTTATTTGTTAACACAGTTGATTCATCGTGACTTAGCTGCTCGAAATGTTCTTGTGGCCGATAAAGGAGTCGTTAAAATATGTGACTTTGGTTTGGCGAAAGACATTCAGAAGGATTACAATTACATCAAGAAGGTCGACACTCCATTGCCCATAAAATGGATGGCCATTGAGTCAATTGGTGATCGACTCTACACAACTCAATCTGATGTCTGGTCATTTGGGGTCTACTTTGGGAAATATTCACTTTGGGTAGATCACTTATCCAGGTTTACCTGCTGATCAACACTTCTATGTCAAGTTGGTTAAAGGATATCGAATGGAGAGACCAGACAAATGTCCACAAATCATTTATAAGATAATGACAGATTGTTGGCTATCCATTCCAATTGAACGACCCAATTTTAGACAGTTGGTCAATAGATTGGGTGAACTGATCGACGAATCCATCCGTGATTATTATATTGAACTGGACACTACTTATAAGAATAATGAAGCTCTTAAACTTGGCAAAGATAATACTCATGAACATAGTTATCTAACGATGGGCTCATCGTCCAACTTAAAATTAAAAAATGAATATGAATACAACAGTTACATGACTATGGGTGAATCTTCAGGTAATAAAAAGACTGTAGATATGAAGTCCTCTTCTGATAATCCATTCCCACATTACGATGCTATCAAAATTAGAAAAGAAAATATAAATCCAATGGAAGTTGTACCGATGATTCATTTTGATGACTGAACAAACACCGAAAATTATCTTCTCATTATTATTATCTTCTTAAAATAATATATCAATTTAATGCTAATACTATAACCCGATTATTTTATTGAAGAGCATCAATAACAATCTGAAATATTGAATAAGGTTTAACAGGGATTCTAATTTAAATTTAAATTCTGATTGGGCATAAATTAGTTGAAGAATTTAAGTCTATGTGCCAAAGTTCAGGCTAAGCTAAGTATCGGTTTTTGATTTATCAGTTTTAAAAAACTCAATATTTTCTTGTTATATTTCGAAAAAATTTGAAAAATGTTAATTAATTAATAAATAAAAAAATTTGACAATAGTTATTTTTCGATATTTTGTTACAGCGAACTGCAGTCTGAAAACACAAGATATCGGATACAAGCAGATGATAAGAATTGCCATGAGTTGAAGTCGAAATGATTATTATTATAATAATAATTTGGACCATTACAACTAATAGTTTACTCTCAGGGATCATAGCAATAACACGAGTTTCAATAAAATGGACAATTGTGTTTATACACCAGTGTGTTTTGTATTCTTTAATACTTTCAATGATGGAAACTATTATTCATCAGAATATTTGCTTTAAAATAACAACAATGAGCTTAATCTGTACAAGGACCTCCGCACTTCCAACATGGATTACAATCTTTCTTGGATCTGCATCTGAAAGGTCCATAACGATGTGATCGACCGCGAGTAGTGTAACACCATTCCTTGTTATTGGGCTTCTTTCCTTGACTTGAGCATCGAGACCAACAGAATCCTTTGTAGCAACCGAATTGATGACTTTTGACACAACTTTTGTTCTTATAAGTGTTCATTCTGTCACCAAAAGTTGGTCCTTCATCGAAATCATTTTGAGCTGAAACTTGATAAAAGCTCAACAAAACAAGGCTCATTTAAGCAGAAACAAATAAGACTT